TGAGCCTAAACTTGTTGATGCCAGTTGTTCCTGTGTGCACACTAGTGCTTCACTTAAATAATTCCTCTCCCTCTCTGGTATTTATCCCTCTGATGTATCTAGAGAGAGCAATCATATCTCACCTCAGCCTTCTTTTGATTAGGCTAAACAAGCCAAGCTCTGAGAGTCTCCTCTCATAAAGCAGGTTTTCCATTCCTCAGATCAACCTAGTAGCCCTTCTCTGCATCTATTCCAGCTTGAATTCATCTTTCTTACGATGGGAGACCAGAATTTCACACGGTATTCCAGATGAGGTCTCACAAGTGCTTTGTATAAGGGTACTAACATTTCCCTGTCTCTACTGGAAATACCTTGCCTGATACATCCTAGGACTGCATTATCCTTTTTCACAGCTGCATCACATTGGCAGCTCAGTCATCCTGTAATCAACCAATTCATGCAGTTAAAGTTTGACATTTATCCACTAAATGAAAGTTGTGACAGAAGGCTAACACATACCCTTATCTCAGTGTGCCTATATGTCACACACAAGCCCCAATCCTGCAACCAATTGCACATAGACACACTCCACAGAGATCCACAGATTTCCAAGGAACCATGTACAGGGATATGCCCATACATAATCAATTGCAGGATCAGGACTATGGTATGTAAACCCTGGGACCTGATAAAGGACCACACATAATGTAATGATTTTGAGCAGGAAAGCGAAAGGGCACTAGAATAACCTTAATTCAGAATCTTGCATAATGACAGGTTTCAGAGTAGCAGCCGTGTTAGTCTGTATTCGCAAAAAGAAAAGGAGGACTTGTGGCACCTTAGAGACTAACAAATTTATTTGAGCAAAAGCTTTCTTGAGCTACAGCTCACTTCATAGAATGTAGCTCACAAAAGCTTATGCTCAAATAGATTTGTTAGTCTCTAAGGTGCCACAAGTACTCCTTTTCTTTTAACGCAGAATGTCATTCACTCAGAACCACAATAGCATATTAACATAGACCGTGTGATCGATTACCCCTTTCTTTTCCCCCCAGCTCCCCCACTGATTGGGTCAGTGGTGTCATCATTGTCAGGGCTGTCATCTGGGCTTCCAACTTGGTGACAAAATGTTATGAGATATAAGTTGAAACTACTAAAATGTCAACCCCTCAGAAACAAGATTACTAACATAGAAGTGATCATAAAAATGCAATATTAAACTACTCAATATAGAGAGAGAGAAAAGGCCACATTTGTGCCACAACAAGGTGGGGCGTTTACAGTTACAATGCATGCCAATAAATTCAAAGATCAGATTCCCACACTCACGTTAACTTTATCCTCTTGCATGTATGCTTTACTGTAGGGCAGTAGTTCTCAACTAGGGGTCTGGGGCCCCCTAGGGGGCCTCGAGCAGGTTTCAGGGGGGCCTCCAAGCAGGGCCAGCATTAGACTCGCTGGGGCCCAGGGCAGAAAGCCAAAGCCAAACCCCCACCGCATGGGGCTGAAGCCCAGGTCCCTAAGCCCCGCCACCTGGGGTGGAGGCTGAAGCCTGAGTAATGTAGCTTCGTGGGGGACCCTGTGACATGGGGCCCCAGACAATTGCCCTGCTTGCTACACCCTAATGCTGGCCTGGTTTTTATATGCAGAAAACCAGCTACTATGGCACAGGTGGGCTGTGGATTTTTTATAGCACGTTGCAGGGATCTCAGAAAGAAAAACATTGAGAACCCCTGCAGTACAGCACAGTGTCAAATTGGAATGGGCTGGCCTGTCCTGAAAGAGATAGGGACCCCTCACAGCCCTGGATAGCTTTGAACAAGAATAAGTAGCTGGTAAAGTTGCAAATCTCTTTAGCCTCGTCTAGATTAGGATTTGGATGCTGTTAAATTTAACATGTGTTACAGGCCTTGTCTACACTAAAAATTGTTAGCAGGTTAGCGAACACCCTCAACATCCTAACGCAGACAAGGCCAGGTGACCGTCTCCACTAGTTTTTGGGTGGATTACCATAAAGTGCACCTACTTTTTCTTCTAACAGCTGCACTATTTCTTCAGTGGCAGTAACTAGTGCTCTCCTGAACATACATACAGTCAAAGCAGCGAGTGGAGCATCAATCACAGGAGCTAGAGAAGGAATGACTTAGTCCACAGTTCTGCCCCAACCAGCCAGGTAGTGTTGTACCCCCTCCATTTTAACAGTCATAAGGAGGCCCAAGACAAATGTGAATGTGATAGGGGCAGCAGCAATCCAACATGCTCCTCTGGCAGCTCTAACTTCACAAGGACACCTGGGACTCCCTGCCTCGTAACCACTCACCATAACAAAATCCGAGAACCTTTACAGTTGGGGTTTTTACATTGTTGCACAGCAGTTACACAGGGGAATCTTTCAATGGTTTGGTTTCAGCTACCTCAGGAGACCACATCTCTTTCCATGCCCTGCCACAGCAGCTGAGGTCAGCTGATACATTATCACTAACATCCCTAGATTCATCCAGCTAAGGAGTTGCTTTCAGTATAGGCTCTGCAGTTCTGTATTTCACTTCCCTGCACTGCAGTGATTGAGCTTTTAAAACACAATGCAAAGCTCACCTGTTTACTCTGGCCTTTACTGGAAGTGTGCAGTGGTGTATAGTTATAATGTAATCTATTATTAAGGGGAAATGTGCATTCAGCTAAAGATTTGTCGTACTGATTATATAGGACACAGTTCTGACACCCTTACTTCACATTATCAATGGCATTTACTCACTTGAGTAAGTTCTCCTCAGTAGCAATAAGCATTGCTGAATCAAGCCCATATTGCATTTGTGCACAACCTCAGACATTACTAAATTACTATGCATGCATAATTTATTATTTTCAGCAAAAGTGCCTATGTGTAGCTAAAATTACAGGAAAAGGATACGAAATATAAAAATTATAACATTCCACTTGTTTATGCTTTTACTGGAGAAGCAGTATAGAAAAAACCCAGTGTCTGAAGTTTACAAGCAATAATCTACTGCACCACAGAAGCATGTTTCACAGACTCCCTTTTCCCCCTTGAAAGTCTGCCAGTCAAGTACTAACCAGGCCTGGCTGGTCCTGGTTAGACTTAACCAGGAAACAGACATATTCAGATGGACACAGTTTTGCTTCTTAAAACAAAAGCAAAACATTAAACCATCCAAATACTGCCCTTTTATCATATTCAGTTCACGTGTACATCTGCTATATAATTACTTGAGTTTGTTAGACTTCTAGCTTTAAAATTTTATAATCCATTAGAAAAATGGTGAGTTGAAAAATTGAGGAGGGTTGTTATCGCAGTAAAAAGCTTTCACCAGTGTTCACTCAAGTACGGAGGGATAGTTCAGTGGTTTGAGCACTGGCCTGCTAAACCCAGGGTTGTAAGTTCAATCCTTGAGGTCATTTAGGGATCTGGGGTAAAAATTGGGAATTGGTCCTGCTTTGATTGGGGGTTGGACTAGATGACTCCAGAGGTCCCTTCCAACCCTGATATTCTATGAGTAGATCCAACCTCTCTATAGATGCATACTATAAACTTGCATGAAAATTATGAAAGATCCACACAACCAAACTAACCATCTCCTAAACCAACAACAGTCACTAGCAAGAATGATTCCTCAAATAGGTGCATCTGAGAAAACATTAAGGTGTAATGAGTGATTGAGTTAATCATGATTTCAATTGTTCGTAATATTTTCATTTCCAAACCAAAGTTCTTCCAACAAATCAGCACATGTATTCCTCATTCAGGGCTGCACCTGCGCCCAACTTTTAAAACACCACTTTTTTTTTTAAGTTACACAAGTGCACATAAAAAAAGCAGCCGATGAAAGTTTTAATTGGTGGAAAGTGCTTTCTCCTATTTTCCCAACTCAGACAACAACTGAAGAGATTTTATTAAATATTGTGCTAAGCATGAAAAGTTTCACACACCCCCACAAAAAAAAGTACCTTTTCATAAAAAGATGTGACTGAAAATAAGGTTACATAGTCTGAGTGCTATAACATGAACCAACAGTCTTGCTGAGAAACAGCTTTACAATAGCATACATACAGAGCAGCCAAGTCTATTGTTGCGCTATTACTCCTGAGATATCAAAACCCATGAAAGAAAAACAATAGTAACATCACAAAACAGCTACAAATCCAGTTGGATTTTACAGCCGGTAGGAGCTTCCAGTTTCGAACACAAACACTAACCTACAACATGGCATCTTATTGCCAAACCACCTGGACTTTAAAACAATTTGTGTGCTGAACAGCTGATGAACAGGATTCATTGCTGGCTTTCTGTGCCTTTCTGTGCAGGGGTAAACTGAAGTCCCTTTGCACACAGCAGCACTCCTCAGAGACTAGATTTAACTGAGAATCCTCCAGAAGTAAAAACACACCCATATTTAGGGCTGAGAAATTCGAGTTAATAGGGGACAAGCTATTGCAATCTGAAAGCCTGCAGTACAGTCCGGGACAAACACACAGGTGACATGCAGCTGCTTCCCACCAAATTATTGCAACCATACTGGAAGCAAATAAGTGGGCTCATACCCACCAAGTGCTTCCCAAGGGTCGAGATGCTCAGCTGCTTTGCGTGTAACAGTCTTCACAGTCCCTTCGCCCAGGAATGGGAACTTCAGGCCGCAGTATGTGCAGTGATATCACACACACACACACACAGAGTTGTAGCAGCACCAATCCCCCCATCACACACACACACAGTAGCAGCAGCAAGACCACCGCCCACAGCTCCTTCCTCCCGGGTGGGAGCTTCCCTCCTGAGCCTGCTCCTCTCCCCCAGCTTGGGCAAGGTGCTTCACACCCACACCCCGGAATGGTTTTGGCGGAGTGATACCCCCCCCCCCCCGCAGAGCCGCCGCCGCCTCTCCCCCTGGCGGGAGCCCCAGGCACCGGGGGAGGGGGGCTTCCCAGGCCAGGGGCTGGCGGCGCTCGACGCTCCCCATGGCAACACGGCCCCCTCCTCCCCAGGGCCCGCGTGCAGCAGCACTTACAGCGTGTGCCCGCAGACATTCACCATCAGCTTCAGGGAAGGGTTCCGGTACTTGGTGGTCTTGCACCGCGGGCAGCCCTGGTCATCCATGGTCGCCGCCACCCCGCTCCTGCCAGGCACCAAGCTCCCGCCCCCCCGCACCTCAGAGCAGTGTTACTCCAAACAGGGCCCGGCCGGGACTTTAGCTCCGCAGAGCAACCGTTCCGCTCACAGGAGGAGCGTTCCCCTCATGTGCTTTGTGAAAGGCTGGGGGGGGGGGGCGAGGAGACACACACAAAAAGGCAGTCAGTTGTGCGTCGTGTTTGTGCCGTACACAGCGTCTCTCCCAGTCCCTTCTCGTTTGAAAAACAACAACAAGATTTTCAAAAAGAAAAGGAGGACTTGCGGCACCTGAGAGACTAGCAAATTAATTTGAGCAAGATTTTGTCATTCATGTGCATTTTAATCTGAATGCAAATAAATAACACAGAATGCAAATAAATATCACCGCAGGAGTGTAGAGACAGACATATGGTACAATAATATCTATCAAAAGCCTGATGCAGCCTTATAAAGTCCAGGGCTTTTCAGTCTTATCCTGTACAAAATATTCAACTGATTGTTATACTCAACACTTAGCATTTTAGGAAAGGTTCCAGAGTAGCAGCTGTGTTAGTCTGTATCTGCAAAAAGAAAAAGAGGACTTGTGGCACCTTAGAGACTAAACCACTTTATCTGAGCATAAGCTTTCGTGAGCTACAGCTCACTTCATCGGATGCAGTGATGAACTTCATCCGATGAAGTGAGCTGTAGCTCACAAAAGCTTATGCTCAAATAAATGTGTTAGTCTCTAAGGTGCCACAAGTCCTCCTTTTCATTTTAGAAAAGATTTTCAGGTGCTATACAGCATGTCCTCAAAAGCACCCAGATCTGCTATTTGTATGAAGTGTAGAGAGGTAGGGAAATTGATAGATTAACCCATTAAAATGGAGGAAAGGGCTATTATTAAAATTTTGCATTTGATGACTCTTTTCTATTTTCTTTGGTACTTATCATAAATAATAAACCACACTCCATTATGACTTTATTTAAATCCTGGGGTACTCGTGACTCAAATAACTTGCTTTTGTGATTTATGCTGTCAACAGATAATAGAATCAATGGATAATAGTACAAAATGTAAAAAGAGGATAGAAAAGAATGTACACTGTGCAGATAAACTTTGTTCTTGCCCATGCACTGAACCTAGTCGTTCTTATAATCAGGTGTTTGGATCAGCTTCTGCTGCTCATCATCAGGGATTACTCGTTTTGCTTTGATATTTTATTTGCCTTGCTGTATCATGTCCATCTTACTTTACTTGCCAACTCTGGGTGATTTAAGGTTAGGAGTATAGTTTCATTTCTTTCATGTTTTGTGTATTTATGCCACGCTATTTATAGTATATGCTTTAACATTTGAAAAATAAGACGCTTCATTTAAGGGTTTGTAACAGATTCTTCTTGATCTTTCACAATCCCATTTGATCTTGGAATTTTTGTTTTGGTTTTTTTTTTTTTACTGTTTAATCTTCTTGGGGAGCTGCTGTGTTTTAAAGGGGGTCAGATGAATAAATAAATAAATAAATGATCCCATCTCCACATGCATATGCTGTAATTCTGAGGTGGCAACATGTTCTCTGGTTTATATTTCTAGTTTAGCCAACTAATTTTAAAAGGTGACTTTCTCCCCTGTTTAATAATCGTTGTGTTGAGCTTTCCTTTGCCCTGCTAATGATGAAATTCCCTGCTTTATAGTGCTGAGACATCCTTTAAGTAACTTGACTAACAAACACAAGAGGAAAGAAGAAACAAAACACCACCAACCCTTTCTAACTTCAGGTATAGGTGTTTCAAGTTGGAGGGGGGGAGGAATAAGGGAGTTTGATTGACGGTTTCTATAGAAACCGTGGATCCTCCGCCCCCAAAATGTGAAATGGCCAATGAGTGGGCTCGGCTGGGCCCACAGGCTGCTTGTACCATATAGTATGCAGCGAGCGGAGGAGTCACGTTGGGGGGAGCCGCGGAGAGGAGTGATCCGTTTACACTACTTTGCTAGAGCAGCTATCTTAATGGTTACTGCGTGGCCGGGAAGAAACCTGATCGGCTAGATCCAGCCGAAAGCAGGAGTGGACTTTGCGGCGAGAGAGAGAGAAAGGGGGGCGGGGGGGGGAACATGTCTTCTGCCTCCCCCACGGACAAGCTCCCGAGCGCGGTGGTGATCAAGCAAGAGAATGTGATGGAAATCCTCTCCGAAGCAGGCACGGTGCCCCAGGAAAGGGCAGCCCTCCACTCTGCACCACCGCCCCCGCCGGCTGCTGCCCCTTTCCCCATGGAGCAAGCAGGCTCCGCGGCTGCGGGGGAGGGAGCTGCGGATCAGATACGGCTCCACACTGAACTTTTGGCCAGGAATCACCATGCCGCCTCCGCCTCCTCCTCCTCTCCCTCCTCCTCCTCCTCCTCCCAGACCCCCCTGGCTTTCTCCCCGGATCATGTAGCCTGTGTCTGCGAGGCGCTGCAGCAAGGTGGGAACCTGGACCGCCTGGCCAGGTTCCTCTGGTCTTTGCCCCAGAGCGATCTGCTACGTGGCAACGAGAGCCTGATGAAAGCCCGGGCGCTGGTGGCTTTCCACCAGGGCATCTACCCGGAGCTCTACAGCATCCTGGAGGGCCACAGCTTCGACTCCTCCAACCACCCGCTGCTGCAGGAGCTGTGGTACAAGGCTCGCTACACCGAGGCGGAGCGAGCCCGGGGCAGACCCCTGGGGGCGGTGGACAAGTACCGGCTGCGGAGGAAGTTCCCCCTGCCCCGGACCATCTGGGACGGCGAGGAGACGGTGTACTGCTTCAAGGAGAAGTCCCGCAACGCGCTGAAGGAGCTCTACAAGCAGAACCGGTACCCGTCGCCGGCCGAGAAGCGGAACCTGGCCAAGATCACCGGGCTCTCCCTCACCCAGGTCAGCAACTGGTTCAAGAACCGGCGGCAGCGGGACCGCAACCCCTCCGAGACCCAGTCCAAGAGGTGAGCGCCAACTTTCCTGGCTCGCCCGCCCCGGGCTCTTTCTTCCCGTGCAAACATGGCGCTTACCTTCAGCAGCCTGCTCCTGCACGCACCCCCCCCCCCAGGCCGGCCGGCCGGCCCGCGGACTGGGCACCGGGCCGGAGCTCAGGTCTCCTCCTCCTCCCCCGCCAGCTTTCGCTTTCTCCCCGGAGCCACACAGCCCCTGCACTCCCCGCACCCCAGGCTCTGTGTGTGTGTGAGAGTGAAGCGGGCGATCGCAGGGAAGTTTCCTGCAACCAACTCGGGGCAGGTCTGCGACTTTCCCCCAACTCACAGGCAACGTGTGATCGCGGCTGAGAAGTTGCTAAGTGCCCCCCCCCCCCCCTCAAAATCACAGCTCCTCTCTCCTGTGCACACACCCGCACGGGCAGCAGACGCTGCGCCCGGCTGAGCTCTGTGCCATGCTTGGGGGAGTCGGGTAGCTCTTTATTTGACAGAGTTAATCATTTGCGGAGTTTTTAAAGTCGCGGGGGCGGGGGCGTCTTGTCGCCGCTGCTCTGTTTTGAAATCTGATTCTGAGCGGGTTCGGATCGGGTGTCACTGCGATCCGAGCGGGGAGCACGGGCGCTTAGCTCCCACCGGGCCTGATCCAAAGCCGGGTGAAGTCAGTGGGGAGATTCCCACGGGCCTCCTTCGAGTGGGTCTCCTGGAGCTGGTTGGGGCTTAGTCGATAGACTGTTGGGGATGGGGGGAGCTCTGCACACACACACCCCAGTCAGCTGGTTTTTCCCACGTTCTTCACCCTTTACGTGTGTCCCTGCAATTTTGACTCAACAACAGGATCCCCAGCTCTGTGTCTGTGCCCAGTAAGCCCGGCTCTGGGGCAGGGGACCCAGGCACAGCCCTGGCTCCATACACGTTGCTCCTTTGTGGGCTAAGGAGACATGGGGGCTGGGAGTGGGGCCGCTAGGGGGAATTCCACCGCCTTCAGCCGGCCAGGTGGAGGTGACCTCCCTGCATACAAGCCACATTCCAGCCCCCTTCCTTCCTTTCCAAAGGCTGTGGGCAGAAAAAGGCCTCAAGGCATTTCTCAACCAAGGCGCGATTGTGCTGATCCAGGCCTCTTCTCTCCCCCCTCCCCCGCCCCTTTTTCGGGATACATCAAAGGGACAAATGGCTGTGGAGAGAGACAGAGCAACCAACAACAACAAAAACGAAGAAAGAAAGAAAAATGCACTCAAGAGCAGACAAGTCAGTAAAAGCCAAGCCCTGGGTGGCTCAGAAACAGAGGGAACCTGTGTACTGGGGTCTTGGCAGGACAAGGAGGGATTTAGATGGCACACAGCACATTTAACACCCCAACCCCTAAGGCTTGTGGGGAGGTTGTTGGGATCTTCCCTTGGTGAAAACTTCTGGGCGTGTTCCATGGAGGTTTTGATCACCAAATCCTTTCCAATATTAATTGGCCCCCTGCACAAAAGAGAGAGGAAAGAGGCACCCTTCTTTTTCATTTCCAAGCACCTGGAGGCAGAGTTGGGCTGGAGCCCTCTCTGGATCTACCTCCATGAGTCACTCTCTCTCAGACTGTTAGGTTCGGTCTCAACTAATAAATCAAAGCAGTGCTGCTTTTAAAGGCTGGTGGCAGTCTGGGTAATCCCATTCTTCAGAGATAAAAATTAACCAAATACCAGGATGTTTGATCATACTATATGCAACCACAATAGATTCTCCCTCACCACCCCCTGGGAAGTCTGGAATATTTTCTTTGTCTCTTTTGTAAATTAAGGTTCCCGTGGGTCACTTTCCTCTCTTGGGAAAGGAGAAATTGGAACAGAATGGAGCCTTCATGATAGATCTAGACGTTCAAGAAATGCATCCGGGTGTGAGGTATTTGGGGGTGGTCACGGTCTCCCCTTTAGAATATCAGTGAGTCCAGTGAGCTTGGCTTTATTTAACAGGAGACAGTAGATACTTTCAGGGTTTAACAGTGCTCACTGGGACCCTGGTTTACCTCTTACAGCTGCCACAAGGCACAGTATAACTTACCAAATGGCTGCTCTTGGGCTTGCTGCATTTCACACATGCACACATCATTCCACAGGGCAATTTAGCAGGCAAAGAGATGGCCCTGAGGCAGTTCCCTTTGATTATTTTGGGTAGATGACCACAGAGAGAAAATATACTTACAGGTCTACAATCCAGTCTGTAAAGTTTCACACTACTCATGATAGGCTTTACTTTTTTTTTTTTAAACCTTTACTGTCTCTTAAATGGACTTAAGGCTTGCTTTAAAAACCAAATGCAAACAGTAAGCATAGCTGGATATTGTTTTATGGCCTGTGATAGCCATAGTGACCCCTTCTGAACTTAAAACCTATGAATAATGTCATTGTAATGAAATATCGTATTTCCATCTTTCCCCATAGTGAGTCAGATGGCAACCCTAGCACAGAAGACGAATCCAGTAAGGGACAGGAGGATTTATCTCCACATCCACTCCCCAGCTCGTCCGATGGAGCTACCAGCCTAAGCCTTCCCAATCACATGGAGCCAGTGTACATGCAGCAGCTTGGAAACACAAAAATATCTTTAAGTTCTTCTGGTGTTTTGCTGAATGGAAACCTAGTTCCTGCCAGTACTTCTTCTGTCTTTATTAATGGGAGCTCTTTTCTTCAGGGACCCAATGGAGTAATCCTCAATGGTCTTAACATGGGGACTTCACAGACAGTAACTTTAAATCCACCCAAAACAACTTCAAGTGCTGTGAGCAATGGAGTGTCAATCACAGACATATTAGTGTCTTCTTCTGAAGATGTCAAGGACTTCAAAATCCTCCAGGCTTCTGTGTCTAACACTGCAGCAGCACCAACACCATACAGCCCCAGTAATGTACCTGTCTCATTTCCAGGGTTAATACCAAGCACTGAGGTGAAAAGGGAAAGCATACAAACTGTTGCTTCTCAAGATGGAGGGTCTGTAGTTACTTTTACTGCTCCTGTCCAAATAAACCAGTATGGCATTGTCCAGATCCCTAATTCAGGAACAAATGGCCAGTTGCTTAATGGAAGCATCGGGTTTTCTCCTCTGCAGCTGCCTCCTGTTTCTGTGGCAGCTTCACAAGGTAAAAGTTTTGTTTGCTAAAGTAAAGACCTTTTTGGGGGGGAAATGGAATACATTTCATCTTTAATAGTGTGTAATATTTGTGCAGTGGTGTATGGTTACAGCGTCCTGGCAGCTGCAATGTGCAGTACATGAAATCATACATTACAACATCTCCCTGTAACAATCAGTTCCCTCGATTTTCAAAGATCAAGTTATGTGGGGTATGAACTTTTTTTTTCTAATGCAGCAAAAAGGAAGGTCTGGTATTTGACTGTCTTTTTTTAAATACCATTCTAGGAATCCTTCCGTATTAATCTTCACAATTCCAGAAATGTGTTAAATCAATAAGTAAAAAAAGAAAAGATTATTGATTAATACTGTCTTAAAACTAGCCCAGCAGCTATCAGAGAAAGTATGTACTGTTTTTTAACCAAAGCATTTTGTAAAAGTAAGTTAAAGCCACTAAATTTACAGGCACAACAAGACTGATCAATTGTGCTTGTTAATCTGTCTATCCTATAATTAAGAACAACTAATCTAAAGAGAAATCATAGAAATATGTGATTCCTTGTAGATATAAAATGTTAAGATGCTTTGGGTAAAGGTAACAGCCCTAGGGAAATGTATGTTACCGTGGATTAACATACCAACTATATGAACTCCTTTCAAAAGATTATTTTAGAGGTTGCCTTAACATTTATTAGGGATTGATTTTTCTGGATAGTAAGGGAGAAAATCTGTGTAAAGCAAATCTAGTTCTGGATCATTATTTTGATGTGGGTAAAGTAAAGTAAATACAAAGCTGAACTATTCTATAATTTATTAATCTTCAGCATCTTGCTGTTAGGAAAATGTTTAAACCAAATATGAATCTCTTTGTAATAGCAAGGACCATGAATAATATAACAACAATCAAATTGTACTGCGTTTTAGCTTGTTTGCGGTGTATGTGTGTAAGGAGTTAATTATTTTTCCAGTAAAGAGGAATGTAATGAAGGATGGACACTCAGGATGGAAACTATAAATCAGCACTGATATTATTCTGAACTATGCGACGTACTGTCATTGGAAGTTATTGGACAAATAGCTTAGTGAGATAAAAAAAATTAGATATTTTATTTGAATACCATCTGAAATGACAAGGGCCATTAGTGTACATGTTCCAAGGCATAGGCTGACAGCCAGCAAAGGTGAGGAAGAAATTTCTCTCTCTGAAAGAGTGTTGGACAGCCTTAAGAAGCTGTGTAAACCTTTATCTGGAACAGTCAGCATTTTCCCACATTAGAGAGAGGACACCTGACTAGGCAGAGTGTGATGAATCCCCAGTGGGGATTCTAGGGTAGAGAAAAATCAGAAATCTCCATGTTTACTGTTTAGCTGTTTTTAAATTGTGAGACTAGTGGTTAACTGGTTTTGTATTCATGGTGAAATACATTCCATGCTATCTTAAGCAAGCTGCTATAATTTATTTATATCTTATTCCTACATAACTTTCAATTTCCTTCCTTCATTTTTCTAGTGTATTCATTGGGCAGAAATAATTATGGTAACCAAAAAAAAGTCTCTAGGAGCATCTTGAAAATATTAGCTAATGAAAACTAAGGGGGAGGTAAAGAGTCCGCATTTTAAACACTCCCTAAATAGCTATGTGCTGTACATGTTATAAAACAGGTATCTACAAAACCAATTACAGCCCCTTACAAGTATCATTCTAATAGTTTCCGGAAAGAGATGGAGAATTGGAGATGTCAAAAGGTGGAAACAGCTCTGAGAGCCAATTTATCTTGTCCATAGAGACACGCTACAATAATGACTCTTACTGGACTTGCTGTATAACCAACTTTGGGTCCAATTCTGCTCATTGAGTAGCTCCGAACTCTCACAAGAAGTCCTATGGATTTTAATGGGAGAATCCAGCTTGAGTAATTTACTATTCAACATGAGTAAAAGTGGCAGGACTGCGCTCTTAGAAATGTATTCAAAGGATCAGTGTTGATAGACAAAATAAGACACTTTTGAATACTAAATTGGCAAAAAGAAAACCTGGTGAAAGGTATTATTTGAACATGTCTCTGCAGGGTTACACTCTTAGCTTTTAGCTCAGTAGTCACTTACTTCATGAGATTTTTTTATAATTTTCCATGTGTAATTTTAGTCTGTCATTGAGCTGTCTTTACTTAGAAGCTTTTTATGTTTCTATTCTTTGATGGAAATTTAGTGCTAGCTACTAAGGAAGGCCAAATCGTGTTCATTTTAATCACACGGGTATGGACTATTTGGCCACTCAATGAGAGCTTGAAAGGTGTTAACGTACCAGAAACTTTTTTCTCAATTCAGAAGTAAGTTGTATATTCAAGAGCTTTCATTCATTCATACCTAATGTTCTCTAAAATACTCCAAAGAATATTGCTTCTATGTTGCCTATAGTTCTAGCTTAAATTTCCTAAAACCGAGGAGACCAAAGCGTATACTAGAATAACTTGCATTATTACACAACTTCCCATCAACTATAATCTATACTTTCTTTTTTTCCTAGGTAACATTTCAATAAATCCAAGTACATCAGATGGGGGGACTTTTACAAGTGATTCTTCGACAGTGCAGCAAGGAAAGGTTTTCTTTAGCCCTCTTGCTCCCAGTGCAGTGGTGTATACAGTTCCCAATTCAGGTCAGGCAATAGGATCTGTTAAACAAGAAGGATTGGAAAGAAGCCTTGTGTTTTCTCAGTTAATGCCCATCAGTCAGAATGCACAACTAAATGTAAACGTATCTTCTGAAAATGTAGCTGGTGGAGGCCTCCAGTCCATGGCTTCCTCCTTAGTAAATGTAACTCCCTCACATAATTTTTCCCTAGCTCCACCTTCTCTTTTAAATGCTGCAGAACTGAACTCTGGTATCTCAGAGAGTCAGTCTATGTCAGCATCTGTAACGAATACATCTACTGTGATATCAGTCAGCAACAGTAACTATGCAACTCTTCAGAACTGTTCCCTCATTACCAGTCAAGATCTCATGTCAATGTCTACAGCACAGCCTGCGCTCGGGGAAATAGTTTCTGCAACTGGAGACCATGTCAGTCATCCATCTGCACAAGTTCATCTGGATTTTGTCAGAGAGCACAGGTTAGTTCTGCAGTCAGCACCTGATGTCAAGGAGAATTTCTTATCCAATTCTGAGAGTAAGTCAACCAGCAACTTAATGATGCTGGACCCAAAATCCAAATATGTTATGAGTAATATGGTTGACACGGTCTGTGAAGAACTGGAAACGGACAAAAAAGAGCTTGCCAAACTCCAGACAGTTCAGATGGATGAAGATATGCAAGATTTTTAACTTTTTCTTGCGTTTGGTTTCAGTAGATAAGTCTCCTCATGAGGCCTTAAAAAGCATCACGTTTTTTCTCATTTAAAGAAAATGCTAATACAATTCAAAACAGAAGAACATTTGAGTAATCTGCATTAAAGTACATGGGAATCTACAATAATGGAATTAGGTTGCCACATTTTGTTTGCATGCAATATGCTCTTTTAACCAGACTAAGGGAGGCAGGTTAAAAGAAATACAAGCTAAACAACCAAGGAGATGTGCGTTGCTCTGGTCTACTAATATAACCCTAATAGTTTGACTAGAATCTTCATGCCACAACAGAATTTCATAATTAAGTATACACTCCTAATATTAGCTAGGAAAATGAAATATCTTTATAAAAAGGTAGAAACAATGCAGTCTTTGTTGTTTACTTCTAGTCCATGGGCATTGAACAGATTTTAAGGAAATAGACGATACCTCACAAGCTACTTTCATGGTGTTTGAGGTTAAGAAACTAAACACAATTGCAAATAATATTGTTGCTGTTTTTTCCAGCAGACTTCTGTTCATCCCAAAAATCTTGCTTCAAACTTGTGCAGATTTCTAAATGTTATGACTAGCATTTTGCCAGTTCAGTGGAGAAGGGCGGCGGGGGGCACATTTGAAACTCTAATTATGCAACTCTAAAGCTTTCACTCCAGTATGAATGTAAATATTATTTCAGTTATTATAAAGGAGACTTTTTTATTAGTACAATGGATTTTATTTATGGTTTACGTTGGTCTCTTTCACTTTAGATACAGTGCATTGAAATGTTTTCTGACTGTTTAATTTATTTTTATCGTTTGAACAGGAAGTAAACAGTTATTTTCAACAAGGTTTTACTTTTTTGTAGGATTTTCAAGTGATGAGTTTTATCAATAGACTGTAAAAGAACAATGTTAATCACACTGAAGCTAGAAAATGAACTCCCACTATTGCAAGACTGGGACATTTTTCTCTCCCATCTTTGTGTTTGGGTTTTTTTTTTGTTATGTTTTGTTTACTTAGTAATTTTCAAATTAGTTAAATGTATTTTTACAGAATTCCACGTGCCTTTCTTCCTAGTGGCCTTATATCCTTGTTACTAAAGCACAGTGGCAAGAGGAATGAAAACACTTGTGTGCAATTATCCATCCTCAGGGCCAGATTCTGCCAGCCTTACTCTTGTGAGTAGCTCCACTGAAGTCAATGTGTCTACTTTCCTGAGTAAGACAAGTTGGTCTCTGGGTCATTTTGGGTGAAATTTGTCATTTGTGTGGAGGGCCAGAGTTTGGCCCTCTGCACCATTTAAGCCCTGCAGAGGGGGGTCCACAGAGGTACAGTGGGCAGAGCAACCATGAAGAAAAGCCTCACATAGGCCAGTATGGACAGCTATGATGGGCTAGGCCAGGGAAGGTGGTTCTACATTTACAAGGTTCCACTGGCCCCAAAACCCCATGCAACTGGTGTGGAGGGGTTGTAGCTGCTGTTCCATCACAGAGGCCCTGATTCACAAATGCCCACAAAAACATGTATTTATGTGCCCTTCCTAAACAAAGGGATGCTTTCTTCAACAGGGCCATAGGCTGCAACAGGAACCCCTAATGGTTTGAGGGAGATGTGGAGCGGCGGTATTTGCTGGCTCTGAGTTGGGGAAAGATTTCAGCTCCCTACCCCTCTGCACTCCACTCAGAACACTCAGGCTCCATATGAATGGAGCAGATTTCACCATTTGTCTATAGGATTTTTTTTTAACATGAAAAAGCACAACCTTAAGCTTTAATAATATTAATAATGCAGATCTATGAAGAACTACTCGCTGTTGATTTTTTTTTTAACTCTAATGTGAATATAAACAGTACTTAAAGCATGAATTAATCCTCCTAAAAGGCCTGGTCCAAAGTCCATTGAAATCAGTAGAAATGCTTTCAGAGTCTTCAATGGACTTTCAGTCAGGCCTGACATGAACTGATGTAGAACATCTTTTGTAAAAAAGACAAAAACAATGTAAAGGAAAGCAAATTGAGATAATGTCAGTTCTGTCGAGGAGCATCCCTGTCTCATCCTGTCTTGATAGCTAACTCGGTCTATCTAAATTTTTTAAAGGAAGGGCTTTTTCCATGTGCTGTGTGACACTAGGATAGCCTCACTGTTGTTTTGCACTATATTGCATACAATTTATTCTTGTAAGTAACAGCATGGAACCTCTAAGCTGAGCAGAGAATCGTTCCATTCAACACTGCAGCTGAAGTCTGAGGGAAGGGGCAGGAAGGAAGTATATGTTTTGTAAAAAGAGGTCATTGAGGCTTTCCAAAGTATATGGAGAAAAGAAAGCAACTAGCCATTTGGCTACCTCCCTGACTTGCATAAATGTTGTTAAAAGCAAGCCATTTAAAACGTTTATTATTATTAAAAACAAAACTTGGAGCCACCAACTGCCCTGAGTCTGCATGCATGCCTCCCACTGACATGAGGTGTGGTTTGACTTCAGGATGGGAAGCTAGGGACTTAAGAGTTCCAGTCTTTGCTCTGTTTCAGAGTAGTAGCTGTGTTAGTCTGTATTGGCAAAAAGAAAAGGAGGACTTGTGGCACCTTAGAGACTAACCAATTTATTTGAGCATAAGCTTTCGTGAGCTATAGCTCACTTTGCTGTAGCTCACGAAAGCTTATGCTCAAATAAATTTGTTAGTCTTTGCTCTGACACTGTTTCTCTCTGTAGTATCTGAGCACCTCGCATGCACCATCTATGGCCTGGGACAAGTCACACAATCCCCCTGCCTCAGTTTCTCCATCCATAAAATGAGGATAACAATAATAATTATCCACTTTGCAAGAATCTTGCGAGAATTAATTTGTTATTGTTTGAAGAGTAGAAACACCATATGTTATTGTGTATTATTATTACATGAATGGAAATTGTATGCATGGATTGAAAGCTGTGTGTGGCTCTAGAAATGTTCTGAGCCTCATGTTTTGTTCTGCAAAGCTCAAACCGTCTTTAGGGGGAAGTTTGTGAATATTTCAGATAACTTTCTCAGCTGTTAAAACAATCAGATATTATAATAGAATTGCTATGCTGTTCTGCCAGCACACATGCTGCTGGTAACTTTTCTGTTTGTATTAATTATGTTACTGAGGTTCTGAATTACTTGGCTATGCCGTGTGGTTGACATGAAAACGGTATTTGTGATAACAGTGGTGCATATCTCAGAATGTCTGGTACTTTTAACAAGAGTATTGCCCGTTCTACACAATGTAGGGACAGCAGGGGGTGCAAAAATGTACATAAAGCAATGGATCAGGACAGAGCCAGATAAGTCTATTCTAGTCTTCCAGAAAGCAAGTAATTTATTTTCTCTTTACCCCTCTGCCCCTTCAAAAATAAGTGTCATTCCCTCTATATGATCTAATATAACCTCACGTTTTCTGCAGGTACATATGAACAATGCAAAGTGTCATTGCCCAGAACAGTGTTTTTATAGCGGCTATTTAAATAGTATTTTTACTCCTACGGTAAAATAAGGTCAGTTTATTATAATGTGGTCCTTGCATAACTGCCCAGACAAGCAGACCATCTCCTTTCTTTACACAGTACACATAGACCTTTACAATACTTAGGGCCAGATCTTCAACTGCTGTAAATAGGCAAAGTCCCCTAAGCAGCTTTGAAAATCTCAGCTTTAGTCTTTACTGTGATGTTCTCTTGTTTAAATGGAAGACATATTTATATTTCGCTCAAGCATAAAATACCCTTCTTTTCCCCTCATCCAATTAATGTGGATGGGTATAAAGAATCGTGTAAACTTTTTGAAGTATGTATGCTATACTTTTTGACTTGTAAAGTGAAAGGCAGCTTGGCATCACACCATGGCCATCTACAGGTAGTAAAGTGCACAGTGACCTAAAGAAAAGGAGTACTTGTGGCACCTTAGAGACTAACAAATTTATTTGAGCATAAGCTTTCGTGAGCTACAGCTCACTTCATCGGAGCTAAGTCCCCTGGAAATTGTATGGGAAATTTGCCAAATTCTGCTAAATCTTTGACCTGGATTCTATAGAAATGTTTGGGAAATCTGCTGAAAGCTTAGTAAGCAAATTCCCTCAAAATGTAAAGTTTTTGAACAAATTTATTATTTTTCTTAATTTCACCCTGATGTTGCTGAGAACTTTTAGAAGGCTCATCTATGTAGCAGAGCATCCAGTCAGTTGCCTCGTTAAATCTTGCAATCTTATTCCTGTGAAGTGTCCTTTCAACTGAATCCAACCACACTGAATAAGCATGTTCATGGACACAGTTAGGCCACATCCTCAGCTGCTGTAAATCAGCAGAACTTCACTGATGTCAATGGAACTATGTCAGTGTACACTGACTCAGTCTGTGGCCCATTCGTTTCATGGAGTTATACCAGGTATGAATTTGGCCCAATATAAAGTGAAATAACTAACATGGTTGATCTATTCAGAGTGTTGTAATTAGATTTCCAAGTTAACACAGTATTGAAATTAATGGGGCAGTTTATACTTCTTAGAGTTATTGTTTCACCATGTCTGTGAACTAAGGAAGACAGAATTCCATTGATTCACATTAAGAAAATTGTTTTCCCAATCAGAAGGGCTAGAACCATTTTTTTTTTAAATGACCGCTTAAATTTTGCAGTGAGCATTGGGAATACCCCAAATCCATGGAGAGGCAATAAGGGCTAGGTTCTGTCCTCAAGCCCTATAAAACCCTATTGATAGCAGAGACATTACAGAGGGCAGAATTTGCCCAAATTTGTGTGGAATGCTTGGAAAAGTCCCTGTGCATAGCTTTCCAGTGCCTGTGTACCTTTCATGACAAAAGTACAAGATGTATCCCTTCTGCTTCATATGAAACAAGTGTATGGAACTCCAATAGGCATGTGTCATAGAGTCTTCATGATCAATAAATATCTTAAGTCATTAAAATATTAATAATTTTGAAATTCTGGAAACAAAATAGTGAAATTTTACAAGAAAGGAGACCCGAAGTCTTCCTATATCTCTTAGAAATCCTATCTTGAAGATATTTTATATCTAACTTGTACATTTCATATAATTTAAAACTACCTTCTTACATTTCTACAGTCAAGGAGCATGTGAATCTTTTGGCTTTCAGGATTCACATTTAAAGGGTATCCATTCTTTTGCTGCATGTACTGTTTGTCCAGAACTAACCAGTTATTTCTGTAATCAATATGGGTTTATTGTGCCTTACAACAAAGATGAAATCTTTACAGAATGTATGCATTAGAGTAGAGAATAACCAGAAGTCTTTATTGCACCATTAGGTGATAGAGCACAAAGCCTATCATCCAATGTTTTTGTGCTTATGACCCAACCAAAGAGATCTAAGGTATGTATGTTTGTTGTACTGTAATAGGGGTTTGTGCCTGGACAGTTAAGTGTTTTATTTGTATTCTGAGATGATGTGAACTTATTTTTCTAAACACTATACTGAATAAACTTTATATTTATACACATCTTGTGCTGCAAACAACTCTATCTATATTTTACATCTGAATGCAGAACTTCCGTTAGAAATATAATCTGAACTAGATATATATTTGTAAAGATTTATTCTAAAGGTAATGGCAATAGAAAAGATGTATATTCACTGTAGGCCTGCTTCAAACTCCACTGAAGTGAATATCGTCTTTCTGTTGACTCAATCAGTTTTGTAGCAGGCCCTAACTTCGCTTTTAAAATATCAAATTAAAAAGTATCATGTCTGCTATTTCATACTGAACCATGCCATTCAAAATCCATGTATATTACTGAATTTATAGGAAAGTTAAACAGATACAACATCAAAACAGGCTTCTGATTACTAACAGTATTCACAGTTCGCTCATTTTTCATCCAGGTATTTTCTAAGCTCTCACACACAGCTTGTGTATTTTGTAAAGGTAGGTTGACTTAATCCCAATTTAAACTGAACTATTTAAAAATTGTGCAAGTCACTGAACATCTGTTTTGCTAGA